GCACGCGCGCCTGTGTGCGGTAGGCCCTATCGTAGAGGTAATAGACCCAACTGCTACTATGAGCCAAATACTGTTTAAATGAATTTAATGCTACTTTTCAGTCATGCTAGCAGCTGCTTGCGGTCCTAAAACAACATAATTATATAGAGTCTATATAATAGACTAGTAATACTGCTACACGCATGACATTTAATACAGAGGAAGTCCTAGAAAGTCTGAGTTTGTGATTTAGAGAAATAATATGGATCTCAATCTGTGCCTGTGCATTCATTTTCTCGACAGAAGAAACACTCCACTCGTTTAGAGAGGTACGCGCAACTTACTTCAGCAGCCCTCAAAAGGAGGTCATCTGCTGAAGGTTCTTTGGCCCCACCCTCCAAACAAACCAAGCTGTGGGAGACTCGAAGAGTGTCCCAGGCAAGTGTGGATAAAGTAGTCCTCGAATTCGTTGTCCAAGGCTTGCACCCACCACACATTGTTCAGCAGCAGGGCTTCATTGATCTACTGCAACATCTTCAGCCAAATACAAATGTCATGACACGCAATACTCTTGTAAACAAAGTCACAAAGGCCTCTGTTGAAATGAAAACAAAACTGAAAGCTGCCCTTAGTGAAATAGAGTTCATAGCAACAACAACAGACTGCTGGACGGCACACCGTCGCAGTTTCATTGGTGTCACTGCACACTGGTTTAACCCCCAGACCATGCAGAGATCCTGTGCTGCCCTGGCATGCAAGCAACTTAAAGGGTCCCATACCTTTTCTGCCCTGGCTGGTGCCCTAAATGATATTCACACAGAATTCAATGTCAGAGAGAAGATCGTTCGCACTACAACTGACAACGGATCTAACTTCCTGAAAGCCTTCAGAGTTTACGGGCAGATGGACGATGTCGGAGAGGGTGATGGAGAAGAGGATGATGGTGGCCAAAATGATGATTACGATGAAGAAGAGGAAAGCGTTGAGGGTGTTGAATTTGTTGATGCCGGAGCCCTGTTGGACAAAGATGACTACTTGGAATACCAGCTACCCAAACACCATCGCTGCGCATGCCACCTCCTCAATTTGGTGTCCACAGTTGATGCTTCAAAAGCAGAGGTCAACCCATTGTACAAGCGTGTGTCAAGGTCCACATTTGCCAAATGCTCTAGCCTTTGGACCAAAAGTTCAAGATCAATCACTGCATCTGAAGTAATTGAAGAGCACTGTAAACTCCAACTCATAAGGCCTGTTGCTACAAGGTGGAATTCATTCTTCTCAGCCGTAGAAAGAATAGTGAGAATAACAAGAGAACAAGGTGAAGGAGCCCTTGCAGCTGTCTGCAGTGAACTAGATACACCTAAGTAAGTGCTTGTTTTTCTGCCTTTCTGTTAATGAAGTGATTATTAACAATAGATTAAGTCATAGTTTTATACTTTGAATAATGTAGAACACATCTATGCACTATGCCAATATACAGTTCCCATATTTACTATATATGTGATTTGTAGAAACACAATTACAGTTCTAAATTTCTTAGTCTCAGATGACAATATTTTTCCTTTTTACTTATCAGTTCCTCCAGTTAAAGGTGCTACATCAAGAAGGCTAAATGTTCCATGTTTTCTTCTTTATACAGGTTTACTCCAGTGGAACTTGGATTCCTTGCAGAATATGTGAAGACAATGAGCCCAGTTGCAAGGGCACTGGATGTTCTTCAGGGAGAAACCAGTGTGCAGATGGGATGGTTGGTCCCCACCATAACTCTACTAAAGACCAAGCTCCAGCACCTTCACAGCGCCTCCAGGTTCTGTGAACCTTTGATTGCTGCACTTCTTTCAGGCCTTGAAAAACGCTTTGGCGAGATGCTTGTAGTGTTGTCACGATACCAACATTTTGGTACCGGTACCGGTACCAAAATGTATTTCGATACTTTCGATACTTTTGGATAGTTTTTCAGATAAAAAGAGAACGCAAAAAATGTCATTACTGACTTTATTTTAATAGAAAATCTTAGAATAACATCAAAATAAAATTCAAAATACTAGGCTTTTCTTATTGCACTCAAAAAAAAAA